TTAGATAATAAACTTTACTTGGATGTCTGCAAGCCTAAGGCTGCGTTTGCCATTGAATGCAAATAAGGATTTTCATTTAAAAAGAGTGGTAGGGAGAATTATGGTCAGCACCAACCTTCTGTCTTTCTCATCTCACATGACCTAAGGTCAAAACAAAGAGAAAGCATTAAAGAGAGGCTAGTTACACAAAGCATGAAGGACTGGCTGAAAGGCAAGGTCTTATATTATACACCCTTCTTTATAAGAAGCCAAAGATGGCTTTGCTCAGATGGAGTAAAATCTCTTCTGGGTCCTGACTATAGTAGTTCCTAAGTGTCCTATAGAGAAAAATAACTGACACATCACCTGAAATTATCAACTGCATTACAGTATTTAATTTTACATCTGGGCAGGAGTACACCACTCACACTAGAACCTTAGTGCCCAGCTAAGTTCCTAATGCCTTGGGAAGCTCACCTTTTAGTATGGCACAGCAGGACTTGATACTGATGAAATAATAACATAACTTTGTTGATCATAATAGCGAGGTGACGTTTTAAGGAGCAACTGCAAGGACACAAAGTAGCTTGTCCTGTTCCCCACAACAACAAAACTTTAAATACTTCTTACTCACATAGCAATTTGAATGGCAGCCCCAGAGTCCAACATTCATGTACCACAATGAAGGTTGGCTGACAGGCTGTGTCTCTGCTCATGTGTATCGTCTCCTCCAGTCTCCTTCATATATCTCACGATGTGTGGTGTGAGAGAACTCCGAGATGAAGGCTGGCCAATTCTTTTCAGAATTGATGTAGGGACGAAGGTTCATAATGCAGTTTGGTTCTTTCATTTCGTCATGATGCCATGGGCATGGGAGGTGTATGCTGGCTCTCAGGAACTAAGACAGGGGAATTGTTAATTCAAAGCCAGTCTGGGCAGTATAGTGAGACTCTATCTCAAAAGAAAAAGAAAAAAAAATGAACTTACACTCTTTATAAGCACCTCATAGAAAAAAAATATCCAGTCTATGAGAGGCTGGTCATGGTGCCACAAAAGTAAACAAACTTTGTCTTGTGTGTGCTGTCCCGACATCCCCTACATCACGGAGCTCGCCATCCCCCATATTACTGAGCTCACAGAGAACATGGCAAGCCCTTCTTTGCTCATTTCAGTAGGTCACTACCTTGGTATATTTCTTCTCAGGACAAGCTTTTATTCCAAGAAACAAAGACTTGACTAGCCATGGATTGTCTTAGTTGCTTCTGATGCCCCCTCCCCCCAAAAAAACAAAAACTGCTGTCTGAGAATGGCTCTGAAAAAAAATCAAAATCTTTTCCTGGATCCAGTATGATGTGAGATGAAAGACTGCTGTCGCTGCCCTGAGACAGGTTTCTGATCTAGTCTCATCTGTGAGAAAGAGCCGGAAGTGCCATCCTGAAGCACTCTCCCCTGATTTCTTTTCCACAGTGCCACCTGTCACGGCGTTAAACAAAGATGGGTTTGGTTATCACCAGCATTATACACTTACCACTGGAGAAAACATTCGCCAGACAGAAAGAGGATCTGCCAGCCAGTTTTTAAAAACTCTGGTAGGGAAATGAGTATTGATGTTACCAAATTAAAATCATCTCCAACAACGCATGTACTCAGTTGTTTCAGAGTAGAACAATGAGATCAAATTTGGGTTGCTGTCATTTTACATTAAGACGCAATCTGGAAATGATACTCAATTTGTAATATTAGGAAGATGGCTTTCAAAGCAGAAGATACCAGACACAGAGATTTTTCTGCTTTTATTTTCCACAATTATCCTAAGGCCACATAGGAGACCCACAGCTTCTTAGTATTTTCTGTGAACTGTTACATGGACAGCTGAGGTTTCCAGGGCAGAAGGTAACCTTCGGGAAGTAAAGAGGTCCTCTCAGGCCAGTTACCCTGAAAAGAGAGACCTTTATTATAATAGCAATTTGTAGACACTTATCAGCCTTGCCACTGGCATCCGGGTACCACGGTAACGTTGCCTATCCTTCCAGCCACAGCATTAGAAAATGATAGTAATTTGAGTGGCAGAAAAAGCAGCTTGATGAAAACCAGGCAATCCTGGCTAAACTTGTGACCTTATGTTAGATCTGTGAGGCTCAAAACATCACTTGCCTTTCAAGGCCTATAGAAGGAATTCCTAGATCCTGTTTTGTTTTGTTTTGTTTTGTTTTGTTTTAAACCTGGGAAGGGCTTTTTTCCTCTCCTATGCTAATTATAAGAACAGAACCATCTTAACACAAGCCTACCTGGAATGGTAGGAAGCTCATGAGGCTAAGGCAGAAGGATGGAAAGTTTGAGGCTGTTCTGAGACACACAAGACCCTGTCCCAAAACAAAACAAACTCAAGCTGTAGGCTTGCCCAAGTCGTGTGACTTTTTCATCTACTATTGAGGAACCCAAAACTACTGTTTAAGCATGGTTCTAGTTACTTCTTTCTCATTCTCTAGCTACATGCCCTGAGTAAACCACAGTATCTTTGTGCCCCAGTTTCTCATCTGAAAAGTGGGTGCTATCCCCACCCTACCATCCCTGGAAAGTGTTTTGAGGAGCAGAGTGTGCCCAATCCTTAGCTTCTATGCTCATTCCAGAAGAGGAATCCAGGCCTTACTGTCAGAACTACAAAAGAATAAAGAGCAGGCGGTGAGTGGTGGGGCTTCATGGAAGTCTGAAGCAGGACTTTATCTTCTACCTACAAATCTTGCTTTGTCAAATCATCTCTGCTTCTCCTTTCTCCTCGTAGGCACTTTGGTTGTGCCAGGACACCTGGGGTGCTTTTCTGGTTTGGTTGATCAGGCTTCCATCCTAATTCTCTCATACATCATGCTGCCTTTGAGACCCCTTACTTTACACGCCAGAACCAAATGGCTGGATCAGTAAAGTGCTGTGTGTTGCCAAATCAGGAACGCGTTTGTACTCCCACTGCAATTCCTTTTATCATTTTTATCTTTAAAAGATTGTTAGGAGCCTGCAGCAGCCTAATAGAATTAAAAACACCAGGCAAAGCAGAATGAGAAGTGGGAGTCTAATTATTTTAGGAACTAGTAAGACATTGTTGCTAGCCCACTTTGAGGCATTCAGCAAGACTCATTATTGTGTAAAACCTGACGGGAGCAACCCGTTCTGAGGTGTCCTCTATCCAGGGATCACCAGTCCTGGCCACAGCAGCAAGCACCATCCACTTAAAGTTTCCACCACTTAATTAGATTTGGAAAAGAGAAGAAGGTTAGGGGGGCCAGGTTCTCAGGTAGAATGTGGGGCAACACTTAGAAGGGAAAGTCAGAGACAGAGTGACTGTCACCCTGTCACCATTTTACTACACTGAAGTAAGATGTTGAAACTTAATAGAAAATAGCTTCATGCCAGAAGGAGCTAGGAAGAGACTCTTTAATAGATCTGAAGAAAGTTCTAGAATTTTCTACCAGAATGGATATTCTTTATTGAGGTTATGTCTCTCACAAAGTGAAGAACTTTTCTTTGCACCAGAGTAACGGGAAAGCACTCTTTATCCATACTCCTTAGAAACAGAAACACACACACACACACACACACACACACACATACACACACACGTGCGCGCTCGTGCGTGCGTGCGCACTCCACTGAGCCCATTTAGTGTCTCTCTTGTGTACATGTGTTTAGGGCCGAACACTTTGAATCAGACTACTCAGGATGATCAAGCACGGAGAAGACTCATTTCTCTCTCTCAGTAGCCATTGATTGCCTGTATCCTTCAGCTAGACTTGGGGCCTCATGAGATTTCCCCATCCACATTGACAAGTCAACTGGTGTTGTCATTGTTCAGGTCTTGCTTAGGCAGGCACATTGTTGGAATTTCATGGGTGTAGCTTCCCTGTCATGGACAGAAGTCACTGCCTCATGGCAGATGTTTCTGCTCCCTCTTTTATGATGTTCTTGAACCTTAAGAATAGGGCTTATGCTGAAGTAACACCTTTGACTGTGTACACCATAGCATACACATATTCTCTGAGTTTTGGCCCATCTTGGGGTCTCTGTGGTAGCCTCTAAACAGAAATATTCTTACAGAAACCCTATGCCCATTTCCTTGTACTACAACAACAGTTAGCTCCTTATCTACCTTATGTATTAATTCACTCTAAGGATTCCAATCCCCTTGAGACTTTCAACCAGTTGATACTAATGTAAACATGATACAAAAATTTCTTTCTTCTAAAAGTTAGGGTTCAAGTGGAAGGATAAAGAAAAGTGAGTAATTTGAGTCTCAAACTGAAATCTCTTGCTAGCAAACCCTGTGCCATCCCCATCATACAGAGGGAATCCAACCTTCAGAGAAACACATAAGAATGAACCTGATTGAATGGCAATAAAATTTTATGACTAAATCAAAAAATTAGACAAAAGCACACATTGGGTCCTGTGCTGGTCAAGAGTTTGTTGCATGTAGCCTGTGCACAGTTGATTTTTGTGGAGAAGGTTTGGATCTGAACTTTGGTTCCCATCTTAGAGCATCCACTTGGAGCATCTGCTCAAATCACAATGGAACACACCGCATGTATGCTTTTCTTTTTACTTTCTTTTTAGTTCCTTGGAGACACCTGGCACCTAGGATTCTGTGAAGGGAAAATCAAAGCTCATTTTTACATTTTATTTATAATAAAAAGACATAAACATTACTTGTCTCTCAGGGAATTGTTTCATTCTTTCCTCTCCCTGGTGGGTTTCATAATTAAGCCTCTCTGAAAGAAAAACTAAAAAATCTAGTGACAGATGTGTTATTTCCTGACAAGTGCACTGAGCTGTGCCTTTGTTGTTTCTGCAGTCTCTCTGGACAACTGATCCCTGATGCTGCCTTTGTTGAAAGACCAAGACATTTTGTTGTGCTGATATTCCAGCCTGTGAGTTCTGCTGCTGCCATCGTGAAAAAGCAATGCCAATTTCATCAGTCTTAAGCCCGTTGTGAAACTTGAGTGCACTTACTCACACCTCCCCTCTTTGTAGAGATGTCTGGGGCTGACCCTTCCTCTGGATTTGCAGGAAGTGTGGAGAATGGAACTTTTCTGGAGCTGTTTCCTACATCACTATCCACATCGGTAGACCCGTCCTCAGGCCACCTGTCCAATGTCTACATCTATGTGTCCATATTCCTCAGCCTCCTGGCCTTCATGCTCCTGCTGTTAATCATTGCCCTCCAGAGGCTGAAGAATATCATCTCCTCCAGCTCCTCCTACCCCGAGTACCCAAGTGATGCTGGCAGCTCTTTCACCAATTTAGAAGTCTGTAGTATCTCCTCTCAGAGGTCTACTTTTTCAAACCTCTCATCGTGAAGAAATGGAAAGTGTTCCAAGTGAGCACAGCTTTGGTTTCTCCATACAGGAGGAGCTGCTTCATGAAAGAAATGACCCTTAGGGTAGACCTGTTTTCCTCTTTCATTTTTTATTTCTTTTCTGCTCAGGATGTGTTCCATTTGTGAGGGGAGGAGCCAATGATGACAGAAATGTATGTAAATGTTGAGGTATGGGATTCCACCCAAAGTTCTCGGCCAGCCTGAAGGCTGATTGGCACTGCGCTGGACACCATGGACTCAACTGAGAACTGCTGCGGATGCTGGCTAGAGGCTCTTCCACTCTGCCTCTTCCAAAGTCCTGGGACTATCTGAGCTATCAGACAGAAAAGAAAACAGGGGGATTATTCAGAAGATATTTTCAGTATTTAAGTGATAAAGCAGAGATGGTATATGAGAGAGGGAGGGAGAGACAGAGAGAGAGGGGATTTAGATTTAACATATAACGCTTCCAAATGGAGGTTAAAATAGGATAAATGTTTTTCTTTAATTTCACCTTAGCAAATGTCACACATGATGAGAAGTCATCTGGGAACATTCTGGGGGAGCCAAACGCTTCAATAGCACAAGGAAAGTGTGTCGTGATGTAGTTTGTGCTGCTTTTATGCTCCTGGGCTGTCTCTTGGCTCGATTTGCAGTCATAATGTTCTCCTGCTATGGAATCCCTTATGACAGTTGCTGTTGCTATTACTAAATGAAGCACAGAAGTGCAATTCATTTTTACTTCCTCACTATCATTTTCATCCAGTAGGAATTAAACATAGAGAAATATCTGTTCAGCTGTATTTTATATAGTAATACTCTTTAGTGGTTGTGCATTCCTTCACGGAGTTTGTCTCTAAAGCTTTACTGTGGAGTCACTTGTCTCTAAGGAGGCACAGGTGTTCACTCATGTTAGTTTGCAAACCTTAGAGACTATATTGCTGATATCTGTGTCACACTTCATGAATGTCATGTGTCTCTGATAACTGTATATGTTGACAAAATACTCTGCACTGGGTATCCAGGGTGGGAGTTTACACTAAAAGCTGCAGACATTGCAATTGGGTCGCTGCAGATACTTCAGGGCTGCTGGAAGCTCCTATACTGAGGTCAATCACGGGTGTCCATGAGATAAGGCACAGCTGTGAGCACAAGCGTGGTATGTGCAGGGCGTCAAGCAAAGCCAACTGCACCTTCTTATGGATCAAAATTTAAACTCCATTTTTAAAAAATAAATGGCCCACAGCCCGAACACTGAGCTGAGTAACCCGAGTGCCACTGTGCCAACATACAAGTCTTTCTTGGGCAAACCAGTTATCCCCTTCTCAAAACGTTTAATAATCTTAAACTCTGGAGCTTCACCACAGTCCCTGGGTGGATTATGCAGACAGAACTCCCCAGGGACAGGAATGGGAGAAAGTGTTCAACACTTTACAGGCCCTGCCTGACATCCTAGACATGTAGAGGTTTGGAAACTGGTAAGGAAGATAAAATTCTGCTTCCTTCTTTTTATTACACAATCAAATCAGGACACACAGAGCTACTTAGATGTCAAAACCATCCACACACAACCATCACACCACTACAGATGCTGTCCTAAAATGTGTAGAGACAATCATGCCTCTGCCGTCACTTACAGTATGACATAACACATAGTAGAATCTTGGTCTAGGGAAGTTTTGCACTTTGGGTGGTGATTGCCATTCTCTGAGAGTCTGTGGGCACATGTATACCTGCATCTATGTATACACGGTGTGTACCCACATATACACATATATCTGCACACATTTCCAGGGAAACGTTATGTGGCAGCCATCAGGATTACAGAAGCACCTGCCATGTCACTTCTACTCTTTTAATTATTCTTGTGCTATTTTGGTTCTGAGATTATTGGGTTCAGAGATTTTAATAAACAAAAAGACAAACATCCCATATGGCAGACAACCTGGTTAGGTTTTGTCCTGGGGAGGTTGCTTTATATCCTGCTCTTCTAGAATAGATTCAAAGACTTCAGACAAGAAAACCATGTAAGTCAAATTCACTTGCCTCTGCAGGCACACTCCCCCAGCCACATGATTCCTGCTCCCTGTGTTAACTGGAATAATTACCAGCAAGACTCAAAGATGGAAAAGAGGAGTCATCACTAAACACTGTACAAGTTGAAATGAGTTTGTTGTGTTGAAAAATTTCAGGGAGACTGGAAAACAGGTATATGAATTATACGAATAAAGAAGTGGAGTCTGTTGAAAACCTGGCTTCTTGTTTTGTTCAACAGTTTATTCTTCCTGGAGAAGATACTTTGCCCAAGAGTTCTAAGTATATCTATAGAATCTATAGCTATATAATGTCCATATACTAAATGCCTTGGGGGGGTGGCTGGAGAGATGGCTCAGTGGATAAGAGAGCTTGCTGCTCTTCCAGATGACCAGAATTCAAGTCCCAGCACCAATGTTGGGTGGATCACACCACCTATAACTCCAGCTCCAGGGATCCAATGCCCTCTTCTGGCCTCAAGCACTCACACACGTGACACACACATGTACATTCTATATAGTGTATCTGTGGAATGTGTGGACATGTTTATATGCATATCACCACTGCCTTTCTCTAAAGAAGGATGTCCAGTGTATGACACAGTGCCATCCTCTCCTCACCACTGCAGTCATAACTCCCTCTTGGCAGTGGGGGAGTCTCGGTTTGGCCTAATGGGAAGAATCACTCAAGAATGCTTGGAAATTTTATAAGTTCCTACCAAACCAAGCATCTAAAGATCACAGAAGGCTCCAGGCTTGGAAGAGGAGGAGGAGGAGGAGGAGAAGGAGGAGGAGGAGGAGGAAGAGGAGTAGGAGGAGGAAAGCCTTCCTCTTCTCCACAAGCCCCAGGAGTAAGGCAATAAATATGGCTCACATACACTTGGGGAGAGAACTTCCTCTCAGGCATTGCCCACCTAACAGCAGTGTCTCCAATCTAAGCACTGGCCCACCTGCCACCCACTCGCAGACCAACTTCAACCTCCTCTCCTACTGGAGCATGGAATCCTGACCACCTTTCTTAGCATGGGGCAATGCTGTTATTGTGATGGCTTTGGAGGAAAAGACAGGAGAGCCAGGTCCTATCTTTCATCAAATCCCTTTGTTCCTACAACTCTACTTTCATGAGACAAAGCATGTGTAGCAGACTAGATGATTGAAGGATTGATATGATAATGAGGCAAAAAATGTACATTGTATACCAAGACACTCCCACAGCCTAAAGGAGAATCACAAAATGACTGGACAGTCAAATCTTCAAAGACAAACACCTATTTTGGTTGATGTCCTGCCTTGACATCAGCTTGCCACTTGTCACCAATGCTGGGTTGTACCTTCCCATTCTCCATTACAAAGACCCATCTCCATCAGTCCAGTGCACAGCACCTTAGCCTTCAGAGATGGCTCCATGTTATTTGTGGAAAGACTAAGACACCACCTCAATTCTTAAAGGCCTCTCACCTCATTTTTAACCCATCCTTCCATGGCAAACAGTCATTTCCTGTGACTGGAGAGATAGCTCAGAAGTTAAGAGCACTGGCTGCTCTTCCAGAGGTTCTGAGTTTAATTCCCAGCAACCACATGGTGGTTTATACCTGATTATAATGAGATCTGGTGCCTTCTACTAGCACGCAGGCAGAACACTGTATACATAATCAATAAACAAATCTTTAAAAAAAAGAATGTCATTTTCCCCTCATGTATTCCTCCATTTCAAAGCCATGCCCAAGTCACTAACACTTTATGAGACACTTCCTGTTCATAATGATTTTTATTGTGACTCTGACCATTCTTGTGATGGCAGAGACCTCATCAAGCCATCCCAAATGTAGGTTTCTTTTTCTTGTTTGGAGTCCACACTCTGTAGGAAGTATGCCATCCTGAACACTGTAAGAAATGGTTAGCAAGCATTTTATGAAATAGATGAATGCATCCTTTGGTGCTGGATAGACCAGACAAATACAGTTCCTGCTCTCCTGAAACATATCATCTAATTGAGGAAGTACTCAGAAGAACATGAAAAAGAAATATATACAAGTGTAGTGTCACGAGTGCAACTGAGAAAAAGCAAGTGTTAAGTGACAGACCCCAAGGGAAATTAACTTAGGAAAATACTTGAGCAGTGTTAAAAAAGAGTGTTCTCAAGAGAAGAGAAGAGAAGAGAAGAGAAGAGAAGAGAAGAGAAGAGAGAGGAGACGAGAGGAGAGGAGAGGAGAGGAGAGGAGAGGAGAGGAAAGGAGAGGAGAAGACACAAAATCCCTATAGGAGGGAGAGCCTTGGCTCTTGGAAGCAGAACAGTTGGTGCTTCCAACTGAGATGTAATATTGGGAGGTGGACGGGACAGGTCAAACAGGCTAATAAGTTTCATAATTGAATTATGTTTAAGAACGATTACTCCAATTTCTTTGTGGAAAATCGACCAAAGATGGATGAAAAGTCCTAGTCAGATGCATGCTGAGGGATTACATGAGTGGGTGGTGAGTTGTTCTGTCTGCTACAAATATCTGCTCATCTCCTAGCCATGGAGACAGCCTGAGCTAAGAGTGAGTTTCTCACACAACCCATTCCTCCTACACTAATTGTTTCCAATCCCTCCCCTCTCTCTCTCCACACACATACACACACACACACACACACACACACACACACACACACACACACACACACACACCCCCCCCCTCCCCCACCACTTCTTTTCCCCCCCCCCCCCCCCTCTCTCCCCACACACACACACACACACACACACACACACACACACACACACACACACACACACCTTCTTAGACTCCCCCCTTCTCTCCTGACTTGTCCCCATCTGTCCTTTATTTAAAGTCTTTCAATCATTTTCAGTCCACAATGCAACTCTTACTCCAGTATTTTTAACATGTTGTATGACTAATGCTCCAACAAAACTCTAATGCCACAGTAAAGTTACAACACTAAAAATCTTGCAAAATCCCATTCCTAAACA